GCTATGCTACATGTTAGAGAAAGGACAGGAAACTTTTAGGATCCACTGTCTACAACTTGCCTAACATCTGTGAGATAATCAAAACCAGAAGTGTATAGTGAGAGTTAGGGGGGATATTGTCTGAGGTATACTCCTCCCTGTGATCAGAAGCCACCAAGCATGGAGAGAAGGAAATAAGCAGACAGCAAACAGTGCAGCAACAGTGTTGCCAGGAAGGAACCAGAAGATGAGAGATTTGGGGCAAGAGTGAACTGTGCAAAAAAGTACTGTTTCCCATTGCTGGACTCTTCCTTTGCCTGGAAGCTGTATACATTTTATTTAAAAGGAAGATAAATATTGGCACATGACTGATTCCTAACAAAACATCTTAAGAAAGAGGAATAAATTTTGTTTCCCTGTCAATGCAAGCTACCATCCCCTTCTTGACATCTGGGAAGAGCTGAGCAAGTGGTTATACTGATAGAATGATTGCAATATGAAAAGGTGGATCTTAGTCCACCAAGTTTGCTTCTTCATCTTTCCCATTCCTATAAGTGTGACTAACTGTGGTGGAGCAGATTCAGGACTCACCGAATGAAATGAAGCATAACAGCCTGCAAGAGTAAGATGTCCTGTCTGTGTAAACAAGGATTAAGTGCTAGTTTTAACTACAAGATGGTTTTATTGCTCCCATTTATTTTATGGATTCTTTACCACCCATTACTTAATTAAACACAAAACACAAGCCTAGCTTTATAATTACTGAGCTTGTGAGCAATCATTAGGTGTCAGTGAGCCAGTTCTTCATGTGGTTTGACAAACCTTTACCTTGGGGATAGGATAAGAATAGCTTATTAGATCTGGCTTGACTATCCTGAAATTGATGTGAGGTGTCAGATCCTGAACAGCACACTATTGCACTATATATGGGAGATAAAACACAGGGTCAGTAGGCCTGCTTTGCTATTGCATTTCCTCAGCATTATATACGAGGGCAAAACCAGAGTCACACACATGAGTTAGTCACATGGAGTTGAATCAGCCTCCTTGTGCCCTGTGGAAATACCCAGCTTCTTTGCAAAAATCCTTCCACAGAAAGTTTTCTACATAATATCATCATATTTCACCTTACTGGTACTCTTTAACCCTTTCTTCTGTCACCAATATCCAGTAATAGAAGAGTTCTTTGATAACATTGTCTATTGCATACTTTTTCCTTTCTTTTTCTTTTCTTTCTCAAGGTTTTATATGGCCCTTTATCATTACTATTACACCCTGAAAACAATTCCAGCTCATTCAGTAGAGTTGCTAGAATTTTTGCTCGGTGCTTTCAAGTTCATACTCCTCTCCCAGCTTTTTCCACCTAGGAAGCCATGATCTGAGAACCCTCCTATAAATTAAACAGTGTATCAGATTAGCTCATTACTGCCTATGTGTGTGAGGGAACAAAAGAAACAGAGCCTGAGCTTTGTAATTGCTACTTACCTAAGGAGACTGGTTTTCAGCTTTTCTGTAGGAGCAACAGAATCAGCTTAGTGAAAACTTGTTATTGTTCTAAACTTCTCTACAGACATTGAGAAAAAAAGAACAAACAAGACAGAACAGCTTGAGGGTGAAAAAGGTCTCAGGAGCATAGGTTTTGTGCTGTGAGAGTTCCCAGGTGACAGGCAACCAGGGCTTCTTAAGCTGTTTCTGAGACCGGCAGGCAGCTTGCTGAGTCAGTGCTCATTCAGTGTCCTTCAAGAATTAATTAAAAGCAGTGAAGAATATGTTTTGCTTCCTCAGGAGGATTTTTATTTTTTTCCCTGAAACTGTTTTGAGCAGCTTTGGCTGAAGGAAATGAGACACAACTGGCATTATCACATAAAGGCAAGGCCACTTCCTCCAGGACAAAAGCCACAGGTATATGGGTCAAATCAGCAGCTGGAGATCTTTTCAAACACAAGAGCTTTTAATAGGCAGACTCAGAATAATTGGGGAAGGTTTGTACCAGAGCACCTGAAAGCAAGCTTTAGATGTTTACCAATAAGGATAAAGCACCTCTGCCTAACCTTTCTTGTTACAGGAATTTTACACAGCTTGATTTAATCCGGGTTGAGATAACAAGCCTCATATATGAAGTTCTCAGGAGACTTTGTTCAGCTGGTTTTCCAAATAAACTCTGCACTTTTAATATTGTTGAAAATGCACATTAATTACCCAGGAACCGTAGACGTATTTGGTAAAGCTGGTTGCCACAGCAGTTGTTGCCATGCTACATGGTCTGTTTTGCATTTAGCTTTTTGGTATGGTAATATGACAGAATAAGCACACATACTCAGTGTGGAGAGAAAAGCAGCAACCCGCCAAGCCTCTTTCTTCCTAATATGGTGAAATAAAAAGCCTTGGTTCAAGCCAGCTGAAGTGCTGATGGAGAAAAACCTAAGGATCAGTGTGGTGTGGTGCCTGAAAAGCAAAAGAGCCATGGTCAAGATTCACACTGGGAGGGCAGGAAATGTTTAAATTCCCTGACCATGACTAAATGATGGGAGCCAGTGATGCTATTAGGGATGCCCTCATCTTGTCCCAGCACGTGTTTGATTCCAGACTGGTGAGAGCATAAAACCCAGAGCTCTGTGCTATATAGCACATATAGGGACTTACTTTTCATAGAGGTTTATACTAAGCAGGAACATGAATTTCTCAGTGGGCAGCTGTATGGGGGTCTCAGGAAGAGCCCTGAGCTAAGAGAGGAGGTTTGTGAGGGACGGGCTGCAGCAGGAGTATGTGTACCAGGCCTTGGCATCTCCTCTACTTGCACAGTGTCCAGCAAAAAGTGCTATATAGCACATATAGGGACTTACTTTTCATAGAGGTTTATACTAAGCAGGAACATGAATTTCTCAGTGGGCAGCTGTATGGGGGTCTCAGGAAGAGCCCTGAGCTAAGAGAGGAGGTTTGTGAGGGACGGGCTGCAGCAGGAGTATGTGTACCAGGCCTTGGCATCTCCTCTACTTGCACAGTGTCCAGCAAAAAGGGCCCCTAACACCATTAGAGTGCCAGGAAGTTTTGCCTTTTTCCTTATTTGTGTTCACTATCACCTTTTAAACAAAAGAGTACAGCTTTTCACAGAAGCAGGCAATTGGCCAGTGGGAGCTGTTTCCCCCATCCCCCCAGCTCCCAGCTGAAGAGATGGGGTTTTCTGACTGTTTCTCAGGGGTTCTGCTTCTGCTCCTTGAAACCTCTGCTCAGGGACACTTGATACAGTATTAACTCATTATATTTAAGTCATGTGAGACTGGCTTTTTTTTCTTACTGGCTAATGTGTGGAAGAGATATACATGCATACATAAAAGAGAGGAAAATCCATTAAAAAAAGCAGAGGCTGACATGTCCAGACACATAATTCCAGTGATTATCATTTTTCAGGTACCCCGGTCATCTGAGGCTTTGTGAACAAAAGTTGACTGAAACATTCACATCTCCCCCGAGGGAGAGCTATGTGAAAAGCACTCAAATAACTTTAACCACACTTGTGTCACAAATTCCTCTCGGACTTGGTGACTGTGGCTTGTTCTAATTAAAACAATAACACTTTCAGCACTGTGTTTTAAAGCAAAGAATATTTTGCTGTTTGTGAGGAGCAAAAAATGGAGAGAAACGCTGCGCACTTTTGTTCCTGGAGCATGTGTCTCCATATCCCCATAGCATGCTTTCTCTTGCTGCAATGTTGTCACCCATCAGAAAGCTTTGCATCCCAGCAGGCATCCAAGAGCACACGGACAGGTTTGGCAGCTGAATCATCCATATTACACCTGCCTGTGAAGAAAAAGTGACAAAGGCCTGAGCTTTGGTTTTTATAAAGCCTGATCACGTGCAAAGTTGGATTTGTTGTGTTTCATTGTTTTCACAACAGCTCCCCAACCTGGGGCTCAGACCTAGCCCAGGAGGAACCACCCAGATAAAGGGAGCCCCAGGGAAGCAGCCAGCCCTGCGCTGGCAAGTGAGGATGAAGCAGAGGCAGCAGCACAAAGCATGCTCAGTCAGCTTTATTAAATCATATATTGGTTATTCATCCATTAGGAAAACTTTGACTAGGAGGGAAATACTGAAAAGGAAGTATCTTATTTTTTAGTGGAGTAAAAGTTGTGCCTGTGGTTTTAAACAAAGGCTTTTTGGCAGGATCATGCCATACAGAAAAGGAAGAGAAAGGGAAACTGCATTTGAATCAATTCAGATAAGTGAAGGCCACAAGACCTTATGACAGAATTTTCCATTAATTCCCATAGTCTAGCTCTCTGACATAATTGCATTACCTCGTAACTCCTTTGTACAAATATTGTTGTGGTTATTATTACTGATTACTGTATCTACTGCAATTACACTTACAAAAGCTGTTTACAGTACTACAGTACTACTAATAATGCAAAAGAACAAAGTCAGATGACTTTCGTCTGGGTTGTACAATATTTTGAATGAATTTGTATAACTGCCTTCAGCTGCAAGTACTTACAGTGGGAAAACACAAGAACAAAAGAGTAAGGAACACACTTTGTTTTAATTCAATCACTGTATTGAATCTTAACTTGAAACTTGATTTTTAGTGAATCTTAATTTTTATGAACCTTGGATCAAAACCTTCTGTTTGCCCTCGAACATACAATTTCAATTGAAAGACAAACTTTGTTTAAATTTATTTAATTTTAACTTAATTTTAAAAATGTGTTTTTTAAGAGTTTTCAAATAAAAGGTAATTCTTCTTCCAAATTAAAATATTTCAAGTTTTGCATTCTTTTCTGGAGCCAAGATGAGTTTGTAAAATATTTCAGGGTTCCCAGGTCTGATTGTTTTTCCCCAGAGAAGTTTGCACTAAAGCATTCCAGCCAGTATGCAAAACAAGAAGGGCTAGAAAGAGAAACTGGGGCACAAAAAAATTAAAATAGTTTTCCAGTGTCTCATTGGATGGAGTTGCCTGCTCTGTCTACATTGCACAAGTTAGCATGTTAGAAATTTAATTTTAATCACTATCTCTTTTCAGAAAGTCTTTCCCTCGTTGTCGAAGAATTAACAGGATGCTTTCCAACGAGTCAGCACCTCCTCCTGCATTCATTCGCTCCAATTCACAGGCCTCCATGGACAGCACTTCCATGGAGGACTTTTGGTGTGAAGTGGAGAGCATCAAGGAGAGCAGAGAAGATGGATCTGAAGGAGCAACACTCCTGGAGTTCAAACCTGCTGACGGTGAGCACAAGAACACCACTTCTTCCTCACACCTTGGCTTTGCCTCCTCTCTAGAGAGTCATGCCCTGATCTCCTTCCTCATGTCATTCAGTATGAGCAAAAGTATTGGGCTGGGCCTATGATCATTGTAGGTCTACTTCAGAACATCACAATCAATCACTGGAAAGAAACAGTAAGTCCCTCTGGTTTATACACTGATAATTAACTTCTGAAGTAAGTTTTTATGCACTGATTTTATTTGTGCTTCAGGAGCACAGATCTAGCATAATTCAGAAAAGAGAGACACTCAATGAAAACTAAATCTCCAGTATTAAATAGACTAAACCAAAACATTTAAAATAACACAAAGTTCATTTATTATTCTGGAATTTTTAATTTTCTGGCTTTTGATAGGGTATAATCCAGAAGTTAGAGTCGTGAAGCAGTTTTTGGTTAGATATCATTTAGTGCTATCAGGGATTTGATAACTGCCTGTTTCTCTAAGATTGCCCAATTTAGATATAATTCAAGGACAGCTTAGAGATAAGTCTGAATATATGGATGCCTACCTCATTCAGACCCTCCATTGACCATATTCATTCATCCCTTATACAACATATCCTGAAGGTATTGCCACCTCACTCTGTTACCTTAACATTTTTGCCTCTCTTGTTTTGTACTGTATTTGTAAAAACATGTAATATTCTGCAATGCTTGTTGCAATGCAGCTTTGTCTTAGAGGATTTGATAACATCTAGAACAGCAGTTCTCATTTTTTTCCAGTTATGGCCCCACTTAAAAATGCATTACATTGCGCAACACAAAATACCAGGTGTTACTATAGGATGAAACTAAATTTCTTCTGAGGTCATGATCCACTGATAACTGCTGCAACTGTTTTGTAGCTCACGGCCACTAGTCTGGTAACTACTGATCTAGGGATAGATTTTGTTACAATCGTGTGTTCTTTCCGTACAATTATTAACGTGAGTGAGGATATATTTGTTTTTACCTTGACGTGCAATGGGATGTCATTAATTCTGCTACCAGGAAGAATGGTGAAAAATACTACTTTATTAAGCAACCAGATATGTAATCCATCATGGTAAATAACCCACACAGAAGTATCTATCTCCAACCATGTACTGTTTCCATGGGAAAACCCCCCCACTCACTAATTTCCAGTAGGGCTGTCCTGGAAGCACCTCCGTTCATCAGAAGTCTTGGTCTGCTATGACAGTTATGGTCAGGCAGCTTAAATCCAAATTGCACTCTTCTGTTACTTATTGGGAAAATTCTGATCATACTCTTTAGCTTGGAGACCCCAGAAAGAGACTGTGAACCTCTTGGCTCTCCGTCATGCAATTGTAAGCATGAACTGGCAGATGTCCATGACTTGTCTGTGTGGCCGGGGGAATGTCACAAATCTGTGAGTTACCAAGGTGGGTAAGTTAGTAGGACAAGGTAATATAGGACCTCATTTTCTGGAAACCTTTCCATCAGTTTCATCACTGTTGAACTAAAACTTCACAACAGTCCAAACTATGAGGCAGTCCCATGTTACCCTTTGTATGATTATTCCTCATTACATTTCATTGATTTTTTTTCTCCTCTGTCCCGAATTAAAAATGAGATTGCCAGGCAAAATGCAATACATCTCCACACTTCATTTACCTTCATAATGTTGTTTTAAACATATATGTACATTGTGTACACCCACACACAGCCAGGCAGAGTTTGTCCTAGTTATTAACATCAGGAATATATTCAGTCTGAGATTATAAATTTTGGAAATAATAGGGAGTTCTATTAAGGTTCTAATAGGATAATACTCCTTGCCAAGGATCAAAACACTGAAAATCAATGTAGTAACCCTCAGGACAAAATAAAAACAACTGTTTATTGCCCTTTTGAGATGTCATTGAGAGGAAGAGATGCAGTATCTTTAAGAAGGAGGCCAAAGGATGATAGCAGCTAGGCACCACTAATACTGTCAAAATTTCAATGTAGTTTGTCAGACAACATGTGCAAGGGGCAGATGACAGCACACTTATTCTAGTGGTATGAGTAAATATGGTCAAAAAAGAACAGCAGGACACAACAAGTGACACAAGGAATGAAAATGTAGGTGAGGAGGAAGTCAGAGGTATTTAAGATGTCTGTGATGTGTAGAACTGCTTTACAACTTGATGTTACAAGGCTGGGATGCTGTGAGTTATTTAAGGTTATATCTGTGAGTTATTTCAGATTATGCCTGAAGTTCAAAGCAAGGTACACCTCTTTCCTAGTAATCTCTATGAGAAAAAGAGAATTACCCTCTTGATTACATTTGTGTTCTGGTGGAACAGGATCAACCACAGTATGAAGACCCTGCCATATGAACAGCTAATACTACAAAAATAATGTTTTGTAAAAAACATTGGGTGGTTTTAACCTTTATTTAAAACCTGTGTGTCTGAGGATATTTTTAATGCATAAATTTATTCTCATTAATAGTTTTACTTCTCTGATTGCTGTTGCTATTTCTTAGTCTATTATTTGAGTGGTTGGAACAGAAAAAGGGCTAAAACCAGAGAAAACCAGCCACAGGGTGACTGGTAAGCAGGCAGAATTTCATGTCTGCCTTACTGCTTTTCATAGCAGCGTGAAAACTAAGCTTGATTGAAAACTCAATTCTTAGAATCATAGAATCATAGAATCAGCCAGGCTGGAAGAGACCTCAAAGATCATCGCATCCAACCCTACCATTGTTACAAGACCATGGCACTAAGTGCCACATCTAGTCTCGTCTTGAAAACCTTCAGGGATGGTGAATCCACCACCTCCCTGGGCAGCACATTCCAATGCCTGATTACTCTCTCCATAAAAAAATCTCTTCCTAATATCCAACCTAAACCTCCCTGTGGAAGAACTTGAGTCTGTGCCCTCTTGTCCTACTGCTAGTTGCCTGGGAGAAGAGACCAAGCCCCACCTGACTACAACCTCCTTTCAGGGAGTTGTAAAGGGTGATAAGGTCCCCCCTGAGCCTCCTCTTCTCCAGGCTAAACAATCCCAGCTCCCTCAGCCTCTCCTCATAGCACTTGTGCTCGAGTCCCTTCACCAGCCTCACTGCTCTTCTCTGGACCTGCTCCAGCACCTCAATATCCTTCCTGAACTGAGGGGCCCAGAACTGCACACAGTACTCAAGTTGTGGCCTCACCAGCGCTGAATACAAGGGCAGAATTACCTCCCTGGTCCTGTGTGAGGGTGAGGATGGCAGAAGAACCACTGGTTCAAAGCTGACAATGAAGTGAAAGGAACAGTCTGTTATCCTGTCTGTGGGTACAAAAAGGATAAGAGTGGAGACAAGCTGTTTCTTGGAATACAGTGCTAGTCGCACCCCTGGAAAACACAGAGCAGAGGTTTTAGAAACAGCTATTTTTGTAGGACTTTGTAAAGAGGCAGGGCAGCTAACAATGAAGTCAGTGATGGCACATGCATAAGATGCTTTCACTTGTCCCTACAGCCTAGTCCTGTATTTTTCTCTTTTGTATATGTAACTGCCAAAGTGCAGCAAACTGGTACCCATCAATCAGCCTGCATTCTGATGTCAAGAAGAGGCAATAAAAGGAGAGTGGAAATACCAACCTGCCATTAAGGCCAGCACTGGGACAAGAACAATAAGTACATTGACTAGTTGTTTTATAGAACATGCTGCAAATTAATATACATCCTGTTTGACATGTTTATTTGTAGTACCTCTTCTTCAGTCAGAGCTGGAATGAAATTATTGTCCTGTCTCAAGCAGCATACTGTTGAGCTAGGGCTGCTCACAGAACTGAAATGAAGGACCTCAAAATCTCCTATGTGAAGACAGATTTTTAAAGACTATGATTATTTACTTTAAAAAGCAGACAAATAGAAAAGCAATGACAGCAAATTTAAAATTGCAAAATGATTCAGAGAAGGTAGATTGGGAGCTTCTCCCTGTCCAATAATGACAGGACATATTCATTTAATGTAACATGTAGCAAGCTGAAAACCTGTATTGACTTTGCATGGACTGGTTTTGGTAGTGGGGGGACTGCATGTGTAGAGAAGCTTCCCCCATGTCCAATAGAGCCAGACTAGAAAACAGTTTTTCACAAGGTGCATAATCACACTATGAAACCAGCTGCAGTGTTGAACCAGTTGAGAAACAGGCATCGAACAGGATTCAAGAAGCTATTAGCCACTAATGAAGATACCAAGAAATGCTGGGGTATACAGTGGTAGCAACTCTTTAATTACTAGAAATTAGGATGATACTTAGCAGGCAAGTATGTCTATTTATGCATCTTTCACCCCTACCTGACCTCTTTGATGCCTATCCCTTCCTGACCCTTGCTCTTAAGTGTGTGTCTCCAGTTCTTAATCATCTTGATCAAAACAAGCTATTGGACTAGCTGGACATCACCCTTCTCTCAGTGTGGCATCTTCACTAGGTATCTGACTACCAGCTGACCCTTGGGCATCTCAGATTGCATCCTTAGTGTGCAAATATATAAATCTGTTGTATACATGCCTTCAGTATTTTTATTTCATTTGGAATAGCAATTTAATTTCCATCAGCCAAATCACTTTATCCAGTACGGTGTGCTAGAGATTGTAAGTGTGACCTAAATGGTAACTGAGAGGATTTAGGGACCTTGCTGTGTCAGGCTAGTTACTCTACTTCTTTCCACACACATGTATGCTGATGCACAGGTTAGAAACTCCTCTTCTGTTCTTCCCATACGCCTCTCCTGTGCAGGCATTGCCAAACTGAAATTTGACAGTAGGATGACAAAACTAACTTCCTTACGCTTGTGGCTTAAGAAAGGTTGAAATTGGAGTCTTCTCAAGGTAAAGGCTGTGGCAACACTCTATTATGCCAAGTCCTTTCCTTCAGCCCCCTTTTCCTCCCTTGCCAGCCTGGTAACATGCTCTTTTCCTCCACAGAAGGGGAGCTGGAGGCAGAATGGCTGCAAGATGTAGGTTTATCTACGTTGATCTCAGGAGCTGAAGAGGAGGACGGCCAAGCCCTGCTGTCCACTCTGACCAGAACTCAAGCTGCTGCTGTACAGAAGAGGTACAACACCTACACTCAGACACTGAGGAAGAAGAACAAACACACAGTCCGGGATGTGCGAGACATCTTTGGCACCAATGACTCTTCTGTAAGTATCTTAGTGAATGCCTCTGATCTTAATTTTTATGCGATTTGCAAGTAGCTCCCAAAGTTTCTGCCAGACAGGAACCCTTTTCTATTGACAATGTACAGACAGCCAGTAGCAGTTTCTGACCCCAAGTCCAGACTTTTAATGTCATATTTACTACATTTTGAGAAGAAAGGAAGAAACCAAATACAAAAGATGGTGCACAGTTTTGCAGCTAACCTGTAACATAATGTTGTGTCTGTTGCTGGCTTTCCTCTTGCAATCTCCTATCAAGACTAACATTTAGTCCTTTATTTTTTTGAAATTGGTGAGTTACTCTTGGCAGCTATTCAATTCTTGCTGGCTTCTGGGGACACTTGCTATTTACTCAGCAGTCCCAGTGGTGAAGTAAAACTTCTCTAATGAAGCAACTGGGGCTCAAATCTGCATAAGCAATTAAACACCTGCCAGCATGATTGTAACTGGTACACTAGCAGTTACATTTCACTTACGTAGTAAATGAAAATCTATTAACTGTTCATTTGCTTCATGGCTTCAGAAATGAGCACTACATCTGGTGGTTTCATCCATTTTTCCCTGAGGGTAGCTCTAAACACACTAATTCTTATCACTACATGTTTTGATTTTGGTGAATATAGTCAACTGTGTGAGTTTAGTCCAATGCTCAAAGCAATATGCATGATTTTACATTTATCACTCATGATATCTTAAATGGAAGTCACCAATAAGCTCACAAGATCACCTTTGAAATTAATATGAAAGTTTTTGCCATTACAAAACTCTAAGAAACTCATTTTCATTATGATATTGCTTTGTCCTTTTCTGTTTTTTCTATTTTCTCCTTAAGGCTTGGCATCCTGGATTAATTTAAAACAAAAAATTGCAACACGAAATTGTAGCTGCATAGCTATATTAAAATTGCAAAGATATATTGGCCAGAGAGTTAACTTATTTGTCTCCAAATTAAGTATCTGGGTTCTTTTGAACCTCTCACACATATCGCAGAAATACATCCAGAAGCATCCAGTAGCTTCCTGTGGGCAGTGTTTCTTGCATGAAAAATCACCAGGCATGTTTGCATGAACATTATAAAGTTGATGGTACTTTTAATTAGGTGAGCACATTTCTCCTGATTGAAGTATCTGCAGACCTTAATGTGTTTAAATTTATTTTTAAGAGCTGAAGTTTCCTAATAAATTTCAGTCAGCCAAATAAATGTTTTACCTGTTCTCTCAGATGGGCATATTATTGATCTATTTTTGACCTGCTTACTTTTCACCTGTTTCTCACTTGCCAAAGGAATTGGGACCTTCAGAGCCCTCGCCCTTCAAGTCACTCTTACCTCCTCTGACGTTCATCTCATTTACTAGTTCTGTAGTTTTAAAGTCTGCAAGATAAGGTCAAATAAGTAATTAAGTCTTCTGATTATTCTTCCCACAAAAGTACGCACTCTGCACGTGCTTATCTAAATGTTAAACACAAATGCACAAACACAACTGCAGCGCACACCATCACCTCCCTCCAATGGACTGTGAAACAGATTGTATTTCTAAGAGCCAGCAAGGTTCCCAACACCTTTTGGCATTATCACTGACCACTGCTCCTGTCTTTGCTGCTTATTATGGGATTTAGAGACTCTGTCCTAATTCTTAGCTCTTCAGGGATAAACACAATTCAGAAGGACTTGTGCCTCAAACTAAGGGTTTCCCAAGCAGTCCTTTGTAAGGGGAGTATCAGCTGAAGCAGTCCCTTGTGCTCTGCCGTCCCTTTGGGCATAGCACTACAGCTCTTGGGGAATCTTTGTGATGAATAAGTTTGGGAAAGTGATCCACAGCCAAGGATTTGCCCAGGGAGGAGCAAATTTTTCAGCACAGCTGCTGAACATAGGCTGGTAAAGAGACTGCTTGAAGTCATACACAAAAGTTTTGCTTTCCCATCCTGCCTTTTAGCTGGGAAGGGAAGAAGTAAATGCACTGCAAATAGCAAAACAGCTCTAATTGTTTCACATAACTCTATAATCCTCCCCATTAGGAGGATGGATTTACACCTTCTTCCCAAGAACCTAAGAAATGTAAGAGGCTAGAGGGATGGGTCACAGGATGGATTACTCTCTTCTGTGGCTAATGATGAGAGAAAAGGTGATTAGCTCAGTAGGGTCACCTGAGACAAGATTTAGGGGACCACTAAAGAAACATAAATAGTTGTTATCTGGAGTGGGGAAGAAAAAGAGAGATTTACCCTAGCTTTTTCTCTCTGTTCTGAAACAAAATGCCTGCTAGGTGTTTTGCTTCTACTGCCTGGTGGTCAGCCTCTGCATGGGTCAACACAGAACAGAGGGTGCTTTTCTATCATCCTGCCTTGAGGTGCATCCCCTCAGTGCAGGAGTGTTCCCTCAACAAACAAAGTGGACAAAAATAAAAAGAAATTCAGCAATAACACCTCTTTTTGTTGGTTGGTTTTCTTTGGCCTTTTTTTTCCCCCCTGTTGCCTCCCTTGGAAAGGTACCATGATCCCTGGCAGCAAAATGCAGTCACTGTGGTACATCACCCTTCCAAGAGCCACACCTTGGTAAAGCAGCCTGTCCCAGCTAAGGTGTCCTCTGCTCTGCATCAGACAGGTCTAACAGCCAGCAGGCTCAGCTGACAGCCACACTACTGAGTTTTAAATTGGATGCTTTATTAATCACAGTGGCCTGATTTTCCTTACCGCTGGTACCCTGCTGTGTCCGTCACAAGCTATCAGCTCTGCTAGTGTTCAAAGCCTAGAAAAATCAATAGCATAGTACAAATGGGGGACATACACACATTGATTTTCTTATTGGAGGGAGGAAATGAAGCATTGTGCTCATTAACAGCCCAACCCTGTACGTTCTGATCTAACACTCCTCAAGAGTTTTTAGAAGCATTTTACTTGAGCAATACATGAGAAAATCATGTCCTAATTAAAAAAGAATCACTAACTAACCAGAGCTATTTTCATGAAAACGCATTTGTGATGACAGTGCTTGGAAATATGAACATATTCAAAATATGGGCAAATTGTATGCTGACCAGAGTTCTAAGGTTACTGCTGCTTTGCCTTTATTTCCCTTAGCTGAAGGGTTGGCAATAGAATTTGGTCACTTCTGTGCTACAATGAGGGTAGTGACTAAAGAACTGTCTACCTCATCTCCATCTTCTCCTTGCTCTTCTGATTTCCTCTTCCCACTGGAAATTCCTGTGTACATTGTGGCAGTAAACAGTGGGCTCATTTTTAGCATGTCTAATGAATCACTTTCAGTCAGAAATCAGGATATGACAAGTCTTGCCTCCATTGGAGCCCCAGCTAAATGTCTCAATTTAGTCAAGGAGACAGTTTGACTCTTGGCCTTCCACATTCATTAAGACAAAAGCTCCCAAAGTTTTTTTAAAACTTCATTTATACTGAAGAAATAATCTGGATCTTTAAAATTCATGCATTAAAAAGGTTTTATTACCAGTCTTCCCTTCCTTTTTATCATATTATCCTAAGATTTAAAAATTGAAATAAAGAGTGGAAAGGAAAAAATTTTCTCAAGAGACATAGATTTGGCTTCTTTATATGCTCTCACTGTGGAGTTTGGGAAATGAGACTATGACATTTTCAGCTACCCCTGATATTGTGCATGGTTCATGTTATTCAATTGCCACAAGCTAGAGCAGCTTGCAGGCTGTTACAAGCCCTGCTGGGTGCAAGGCAGAGGTGTGCTGTCCACTGCCCTCTGCCAGCTCTGCACTGCTTAACAGAACCAGACTACTGCAACTGCTTCACTATTCATTTCACTCATATTACAAGGCTGGAAGTATTTTTTTCCTTAATAAACTTGACTCACTGTAAATCTATTCTGAACACTGTTCACAGGGTCAGGCATTTAGAGCAGTGAAAGTAGATGAGCCAGTTGCTAATGTTTACCATTAATTTCTCCATCTGGATCTTAAGCAGAAGCATAATTACTGTTATGGTTGATTTTCCCAAATTGCTGAGGCAAGTTTAGCTATCCCCTTCACTTTCACACTCCTACCTGAAATCTATAGTGCTTTTTTTGTGTCCTAAAGCCTTTTGTGTAAATATTGTAGGATTTTATCATAAAAGCATCCTACAGTTCTCCTTTTTTAAAAATCAATGGTCCTTACAGTGTTCTAGCAAAGGAAGTCCATGTGACTCAAATCCTGCTTGCTATCAAGTGTGCAGGCCATTGAATGGACTCACTCAGGAGAGATTTTATTCATGTTACATTTGACTTTGTTACCCGAATAGCTCAGAGGATAAGATTGAATAAAACAACTGCAACATTATTTCAGGCTTCCAATTGGAAAAGCTGTCTGTCTTTGAAGTATCTGGCATTTGTTAGCAGTCTGAATGTAGCTCATTGGCTACAAATAGGGAAGACAGAATTTCTGCACTGAGGCATTGCTGCTTCTTGATAAACAGACAATTTAGCAATTAAAGAACAATTTGAAGAGTGGGTATTGATAGCTCCTGTGGGTCCTCAGCTGCAAGTTCATCTGGAAAGCTGGGGCTGTTCCATCAGGCTCAGGGCAGGTGAGGCAGCAGGTTTGACAAAGCAGGGGCTCCCACAAGGATGCAAAGGGTAACAGAAAAAAATACAAGACAGGTTTGGAACATCATAGTTATTTTCACTGAGTAACCTTCAGAGCATTTTTTTGATTCCTGACCTTATTGGTTTTTTTACCCAAGAGCATGTATATGAACTGCTACTGCCCCATATACACACAAACACTCAGATTTGTCTTTATGAGTCACAAAATTGCTGAGAACAAGGCCAAAACTCTGCTGCCAAGAAGAGGTGACACGGCTTGAACGTTACCCCCGGGCTACCAAGCTGCTTCTCTGCAGTGCAGAATGATTTCTGGAGTGGAAAGAAATTAATTTGACTGTAGAAAATGTCTTTGTTCCCTCAAACTGTTTTTTGCAGTTCATTTATAAAGTGCAAGTATATAACCTGTGGGAGGACATCTGCCCACTAATAACTTGCTAGTGCCCACATTGCAAGAGGCAGCAAACAGCCTGATTTCTGACAGGTGCTTGGAAACAGCAAATATTCAACATGTGTCAGAGAGTCTTCAAAAAGATTTGTGGCCAAAATGATTGAAAGCAGGATGAATTACAATTTAACAAGGACCTTTCACTTAGTATAATTCTGTACAGCAATTTACTTAGCTAATTTCAGTCATTACATAGGACAGGACTCATTAGGTACAGCAAGCTGTAATATTACTGACCTCAACGTGATCCAAATCTGTGCAGTCTGGGGAAGATTAATTCTCAGGCTTGGCTATGAAAAATGTACTCTGGAGAATCACAACAGGTTGTTTAATCTTGTCAAAAGAGTGTAAGCTGAGAATGATAGAGTGTTGCTTGAACTGTAGCAGTTTCTGTCCATACGCGTTTACCTTCACCGCAGTCTGATTATTTTTCCTTGCCTATCAGCCCACATTTGAGACAGTTCCAGTGACACCAGTTCCTTCTAACGGTATCCAGCATCCTGGGCAGAAGGCAGTTTGGAAATCAGTTAGCTGTGAGTATGACAATATGTAACTAGTGTTTGCTTCCTCCTAGGAAAATGATAGACAGACTCTTTTGTGGTTCAGAGGTTATTCTCCTCTTTCATGTTGGGACATACATTTCCTTAAAATCGTTGTCAGCTTATTGTCATGCAGGAAACAAAGTTTCACATCAAAGGCTGGTGTTGTACAGACACAGACTGCTGCCCTTGAGGCATCTGCATCTAAAAAATATTGGTCATTGCAAGTCTGGGATGTAAAAATAATCTCTAAACAGTGTGGTGCAGAATTTGTCCAAACTGTGTTGCTGGTGTATTTTCTTGCTGCAAATCATAACAAGAAAGATGCCTATTTCCTCCATATTTCTTCTCCAGTACTGCAGAAATGGAAGTATTAGAGATTGATCATTTTCCTGGTTCTGCCCTGTTATTCTGATCTACTAATCCCTTAAATGCTTTGCCTTGACAGTGAATGGCATTGCTAATGAAAATAATGGTTCTATTCTATTCATTGTCTCGATAACTGTCAGCAGCCTTCCACAAGAATGTCCATCTTTTATATTGAAAGCTCTTCCTATCACCATTGTTCAGGGCTTAACTAAAGGGATGTTAATACCCAAGTTTCTAAACTAGTCCCTTGGATGTTTACCTCTGGATATAGTGCCACAGTGTTTTCTTTGGTGGCAAAAGCTTCTCTGCTGATACTTCTGGTGAACCTGGTGTGCTGTAAGGTGAGGTGGCAGGAAAGGTAGCCTGCCTGGCTGAACAGGGAAACTTTGCAGGAAATTATGAAAAAAAAGAGAGTTTACCAACTCTGGAAAAAAGGGCAGGCTACTCAAGAAGAGTCCAGGAATATAGTGAAATCAATGATTTTGCTCTGCAAGCAGTTGTACTAGAATAGATGGGGATCCAAATGCCCAGGAGTACCACGGACAGTCTGTGGCCCCAGGTCCAAGGGTGGAAAGACAGACAAGAGAAGATCTAAAGTGGCTTGTCCGTGAGATAACATGTAAAGCCACAGTTCAGACCCCAGATACCACTCAATAAAACACTTAGCTTTTTCATGTCAACTTGCAAAACAAAAGATATTGAAAAAAATATAAAAGTCCCTGTATCTGTAACTGTAATGAGAAAGAAAAAAGTGGGGCACGCACAGGTTTATAAAACATTCAAAGTTTTTAAATTCATTTTCTGCTTTCCATGGCTTTTGAATACTCTTGGCTCGTGTTAGTAAATTCTTCTCTGCACTCCTGGGGCCTAAAATTTTATTTAACTTTCAATTAAATTTATGATTCTGTTCCAACTGGATGAGTTTAGGAGCTGGACCTTAAGGGAAAACTAAAAATTGACCTGAGATATGAGAGATCTGTCATGGAAGTTGGCAACAATTGAACTCATGTATATTATCACACTTTGGACTCAAAGACAAAAGGGTATTTCTGTACTTGATTGTACTGATTTAAAAAATTTTCCTCTAGCATCCACTAATTTCAGGATGTGACTGAATTTTAGAGTAGAGCAATAAGTCATTTCACAATATCTACCAGAAATACCAGTAGATACAGTGCTCGTCAAAATGAAATATTGTACATTGTGTCCTGTTTTGGTGCTATGCACCTAAACTAGCAACTTGAGAAATGTATGTATGTGACCACATAAAATACATGCACAATGTCTTATGATTGTAAATAAGTCATCAGTAACCCGAGAAACTGTGTCAACAGCATTTTTCTGTCAAGACCTTTTATTTTTAATTGTTCATTAGACAAGTGCCACCAGTTTGTTGGCCTGGGTAGACAAGAACAGAGTACAAAAACTTGGTAATTCCTGATAAACAGGAAGTTCCAGCTTGACTGTCTTTCTCACTAAAAGCAACAAGTTAAATAATCTGAAATGAAAATAGGAATTTTATTTCTAAGGGGTTATTTCCTCCAGACAAAACAGGAACATGCTGTGGTTTGCACTGAAATTCCTCTTTGAAGCACTTCCTTTATTGCTTTCTCAAGATTTTTGTCATCTCAGTTCAATTTTTTAATGTCTCTGTACAAAATGCAAGCACATATTCAGGATTCATATATATATTTCCCTTATTTTCAGCTAATAGCTGTCTAGACTGCGGACTAGATAAAGGCAGCCCATCCATAACAGAAGAGCTATCCTATGAGGTCTCTTTCTCAGAATCCATCACAGTCCTTCCAAAAACCCAAGAGTGGCCAAAAAGTCAGAGGTTCAAAAAGGAAGACTCAGCTTTGCCTGTAAGTTTGTTCTCAGCATATTTCCTTGATTGTTTTCTTTAACACAGCAATTTCCTGCTTCATATCCCTACATTGGAGTCTGTTAAGATACACGATCTGTGCTTTGAAATGTGTGCTTTGTAGAGACTGCCCACTGTGCCTGCCTACCTCCTGTCATTGATTCCCAGAGAGTCACCCAAGTTAATATGGATATCCAAGCCAAGTTTTTATTTGTATCCATCATAGATAAATATGCGTAACTCAGTCCACAAATATTCCATCATCCACAATTTTTTCACACAGAAATAAAAACCACTTACTGGCATGAAAACTAACAGTCATTTTCATTACTGGTCTGCTTTCCTATTTGTTCATCCACAGATTATCTGACTTTGTTAACACCTGGATTTAAAATTGCTTTGCAGATGAAGGGTCGAAAGCAAACCTTAGTCCTGCAACAGTACTGGCTGTCTCCAATCAGTATTCAGTGCAATGACGCTATAGGAAATACTACATGAATGGTTAAAGGAAAGTTTACCATATCATCCAACCAGACATACACTGAGCAGTTGTGTCATTATGTGGAGTTATTTCATGAAGTCAAGGAAGTCAGTTTTCTTCTTTCATCAGTCCTCACAACTTCCATAACTAAAAACTGGAGCATTAGTTTAAGTAGTACTTCAGATATCACCTTTTTAGTGACATGTATGAAACAGCTGTAAATTGTTTGGAAGCATTTCCTGACTGTTGTGATGTCTTGAGGTCCTGAACTAATCCAAAATCGTTACAATCCACACAGACATTGAATTATCTGAGAATTATCCATTTGTCCATCTCAGACTCCACCAAGGAAGAAGAAGCTGAGATGCAGAAGTAAGCTTCCATGTTAAAAGATAAGACACCAAGTAGATTACACAACATGTGTGAAATCCCTGTGCTTTATTGTGTCTTCGGTTGTTTGGGTTTTGGGGTTTTTTTTTGTGGTGGGGACAACTTGGTGTCCTGTGGAGAGTAAAGATATCTCTGCATTCATCATGATTTTGGCCTTCAGTACAATAAACACACGCGCGCGCACACACACACACACACACACACACACACACACACACACACACGCTCATACAATTTCCTGTTGACAAAGCAGGAAAACTGGTGACAAAGAGGAAAGAGAAGATGCCACACTGAATATCATGGATCTGTGGATCCTTAATTGATTAGTTTTAGAAAACATCAGTATTGTGCTGGAGTTGAACTACTCTGCTTTCAGGACATCATTTTTGTGTGCTCAGAAGAGTACACAAGAAATATGCCAGGCCATTATAGACAGAGAATTTCTGAATAAAGTCAACAATCATAGCTGTTGACTTTGGCATTTCCCCTTACTTCATCTGCAGCCACTCATGGTATTTGGGTTTTTTCCATAATGATTCAGACTATAAGGGGCCTCAGCAGAAAAATCACCTCTTGCTCTGTTACACTGAGCAACCAGTCACCTACACTCTGAAGGACTGCCCCTCCTTCCCCATGCAGACAGGGCTAGACTGAAGACTGTGCAACATAATACTTTCTCCAGGACAACATAACCAACTTCATGGATGGTGTATACAGAGCTGCACAGACAGATATTATGTATCATAAAATGACATGTTCCCTGCAGCTCCCAGTAGAGCCAACTCAACATCCCTGTCTGCAAAGAGTTATATACAATTTCCCCAATATGGAACCATGATCCGTGTGACTTAGTTGAAGATATTACAGAACTATGAGTCAGTAAGCATTCCAGGCCCATCTGAGTACACTGCATAGTTCCACATAGTCGTGACATCACACAATATCAGACATAATCCTTAGCCAAAATGTTACTAATCTAATCCCAGCCCAGTGTCCTTCAGTGCTGCATATTGTGACTCCACTGCTTGTAAGAAAAGCCACTGGAATATTGTGACACAAGACAGAAGAAAGAGGTCCAGCCCCAAACCATAGTATCACATCACAGTAACCCTAGGAGTCAAACAGCCACTGTGGAAAAGCATTGTAGCACCCTCTGTAAACAGTTTTGGAGTGTCCGGAATATTTTCTTGGCAAACATACCTTTTCTCTTTGCCTTCAGAAAATATATGCATACTATCTATTTTTTTTTTTATTTTCAAGATGATTTATTGCTTTTTGACTACTTTTGGACTTTTTGCATCACTGAATTCAAAATTCATTGATATTCTTCAGTTTTTATATATCTTCAGAGGACTATCCTCCATGCAGCTTTTGTTACATTATTAAGTCCAGCAGGAGGGTAACAGTGCAATTGCTGCATTCTGGGAAGCACATATTCTGGCCTAAAATGACCCAGACAGCATGTAAATTAGTAATTCCATTCCTTGCACTATTTGTCCCCCAATTATTATTAACCCCTATTGAAAAACCATGTGCAATGTGATTTAGGAAGTCCTAAACTACATAATTTCTTTCTTTGGAAATCGGTGTAAGTTTAATTTTTCCATTGTTTGCCTTTTACTTAATCAGTTTGCCTGGCTTCATTTAAAGATGAGTTAAACCTGCTAAGTCCAAATTTGTTTAAGAAAAGGAAGGACTGGGCTGAAATCTCCAGAAGCAAAGCATTAATTAAAGGCTGGGTTTCCACTCAGTTCCCTAAAGGGAGGAGATGATTTGTAATACTGTTTTTTATACCTCTGACTAACAATTACTGGTTTAAATTACAATTAAATTTAAAAAACATACAATATCAAGATTTTTCGAAAGCATGTTTTTTACTATGACTTTGTTATTATGTCTAACAATTATGTCAGAAACTGATGGGTATTTGTTCTTTTTGACATTTGGACAAAAGCGTCTGTCATGACACAACATTCCTGGCTCTGATCCACAACACTGTAGTTTCTAAAATATGTAGACATCTTCATATGCCCCCAAATTACTCAGTGTCATTTGGTTCAAGTCTACTTGAATAAATTATTTCTAAGCTTCTGGGAGTCCTGTTTCTAAGCCTAAATGCTTCTTGATTAATAAAAAATACCAGTAAATTGGCAGGTTGGCCTCAGGACTAAGCAAATTTTATTCTGGAATTTTCCTCAGATCCTTAGTATGACTTCTACTGTAATATTTCATAAAATAACAGCATTATGCAAAGCAGGCATGGATTCATTGCACACACACAATTGATGTACAACCATACCCACGATGAACTGCATCAGCTACTTCAACAGCACTCAAAGATGTTCTGGGGAAGGCAAAAGCAGAGTAAAATGTTACATCCTGCTG